CGAGAATAGCAACAATAATAACGTAATACACTATTAGAATGGTGAAACAAAGTGAAATTAATTTACTCTAAATTAGAATTTTGTAACATAGTTCATAATTCAAATGACATAAATAATATATATAATATAATAGATAGATGAACCCAGACGATTGCTAACAAACATCAGGTAGGATTTTTCTGTGAAATGGCAAGATGGGTGGGAAGGGGGAGGGACGGGGTGGGAGGGGGAGGCACGGGGTGGCATGGGAAAGGGATTCCCTATATTTTTTCTTTCTTTCTTTGCCTTTTCTTTTTGTATTGTCTATATAATTTGTATCTGTGTATATAAGTCCCTTTGTGAGGGCAAAAAAAAGAAGTTGGTCACAAAAAAAAAAATAACGATTGGTACATTACTCTTCACGAGTCTGACAACGAGTGAAACGAGTCTCGAGTAAAACCATAGCTAATCTTCCAGGGAATCATCGTGGTCTCAAGTTGGATGGAAATGTCTCCATCATTTTGTGTTGAAAGGAGAGAGAGAAAACCACACATCGCCTTCCAACTTTAAATATACTGTCATTATTCAAAGACTCAGCATCTAAATAGAAGAATAATTTACAGGAAGAACATGTTATGGTTTTTTATGCTTGTGTTTTGACACTTATGTATATATATGTATTTATAGTGAAATTGGAATGATCCACATTGGCCCCTTTCACACCAACGCGGTTCCAGGGCCGGTTCGGAGCTTGAGCCTGATAAGCACCGGTTTTTCCTGTTCACACCGTAGCGGAGCCGGCTCTTTTCCCCGAAAACTGGTTCTTACCAAGCTCCAAAAAATTGTCGGTCTTGAAGCAAGAACAGCATACGTCACGCTTACGTCGGAGGGGGGCGGGATCAACCTGAGCAACAGTTTATGGCGAGTACGGCAAATAAAAGTTGTAACAAGCATTAGCGCTGAGCAAAGTGACTAGAACGCAACCACACACTTTCTAAAGTCAGGCAACACTAACCAGCTTCGTGTGATTCTGTTTATTCGTACCTTACTTTGACCATCCGTCCGCTGTCATTGATCGTTGTGGAGGGCAGGCAGACGTGTTGTTTTGTATTATAGCAGCTATCAGATGCAGGGATGCAAACTCATCAGGTATGAAAAGATGACAAGGATCCGAGCCCTCCGAGCCCCCGGAATATCGGCTTTAAAATGAGGAATAACAGAGGATTTTAGCAGTCAGAACAACTAAAGCAGTTAATAATAACAGAAACGCCAAAGAGTCACATCTAATAGAAATATATAAAAGTATTTATTTTAATTGTGGAGCAGTCAGTTTATGATTTTGTTGAGCATTTTGAAAATGTATTTTCATGTCTCTGTGCAAGGCTTAGTCTTTCTATCTGTATAGCCACTGGTGTAAAGTAACTAAGTTCATAAACTCAAGTACTATACTTGGGTACAATTTTGAGATACTTGTACTTTATTTAAGTATTTCAATGTTTTGCTACTTTGTTCTTCTACTCCACTACAGTTCAGAGGTAAAAGGTGTACTTTTCCTCCACTACATGTATTTAATACCTTACTTTACAGATGTGGATGAATGATGTGAAATATAATCAAGTGTTAAATCAGACTTTAGTTCCACCTGAGGCCTGTACTACGAAGCCGGATATTCGCTTTGCCGGCTGACTTCAGGGAAAGCTTGGGCTTTCCGATCCTACGACGCTGGTTCTCTTTTTAGCGGGCTAGATCTCCATGGTAACTTATGCTGAGCGGCTAACCTCCTCGGGAGGAGGTTAGGTTGCAGGCTAAGAGATCAACTCAGTGAAAGCACCGCCTGCTGACCAATCAGAGCTCCGTGTGCGGAGTTTAAAGCTATCAAGTCATATTACAGGATAGAGGAAATACAGAAAAACTGCCGTTGCAGGAAAGACGGCCGGCAAAAATCAACTGACTGTGTGAACGTGAAAATTAATAGAATATCCCCTCCCATCTTCAGAGCAATCTGACTATTATAACATTAGCGTTAAGAAAGCTTACTTAAATATCTGCCACAACATAAGTAACCGGATCAGAGTAACATTAAGTACAGTCCGCTGCACTGTGAGTGCAGACGTCGATGTGTCCCATTATCATTCATATCATATCACATCATAATGTATCATATATTTCCTTATCTGAGTCAGCTGAGCCGTATCTGGCCGTGCAACACTCACAGTGTCACATACTGTATGCAGAAGTATTATTTTAAGCAACACATTAAGTTGACGAAACACTGGAGTCAAATGTAATTAAAGTCAGATCGTGTCTTGGACGGGGCAGTGATATCATAAACCTGTTAATGTACGCATTCAAACACTTTCTCTGTTACCAGCTGTATTCACCTTGCAGGTGCAGCTATGTGGCTTTGATCCTGGATAAAGTGTTTAAGTCATGGATGTTTAAAGTTTAACTTCTTCATATTTGACTAATATTAAAGTTCACTTTTCATTCAGGAAGTATGACGCTGCGCTGTCAGTACGCTTGTCCATGTTTGTGATTGGTCGAATGCTCCAAATACCACCCCTTTCATGTGAACGCGCACCTAACTAGATAGGACAGGGCTGGCTTGAGCGATCCACTTGATATCCAGCGTCGTAGTACAGCTTAGCGAGAGCGCGTATGTTTTGGATTGGGCCAACCGGCTAACTCAAACATATCCAGGTTAGGTTGAACCGGCTTCGTAGTACAGGCCTCTGGAGTAAATTCACAAGCTACCCTGCAGTATACAAAGTCATTCAAACTAGCTGCACCTTTACCAGCTTTGAGAACACTTTCATGATCAATCATTATAAAACATTGTGTAACGGTTCACAGAATTCACGGTTCGGTACGTACCTCGGTTTGGGGGTCACGGTTCGGTACGGGTTCGATCCAACAAGAAAAAGCAAAAAAATGTCCCAAATGACTAATTCCAGGTTTGTTGTTATTTATTTTGAACAGTAGTGCAAGTTTCAGTTTAAAAATAAGGAACTCTAACATTTTTGAATAATTAACTGTATTACACAGTTAAAAACAAACCACAAACAGCACCACACACACTCAGATGGCCGTAGTATCTATAATGGCTGATGTCAAACAAAAAGGTTTCACCAAGCTGTAAAACTAAAAAGATTGTCTTGAAAATATTACATCATAAATAATAAGTAAGTGTTTCAAGAGCGCATAGCCGTTGAAAAACATATGCCAAAAGCTTCCGTTATTTATTTTGGTCTCTTGGCTTGCATGTCTATTGGCTTCTTAAAAACAGCGGGGATAAGCTGTACAACTGCTGTTGTCTTTTGCCGGGCTCTGGTGATTGGCAAATCTGGGTGATGCCTTCTGATATGATTTAGCATGTTTGGCGTGTGTTCTATTAGCATTCCGCACCGCTGTTGAACAACGCCGACACACCGTCCTCGTCCGATCCACCACTCACACACTCCATCGTTATTGTAGTCCACAGGGAACCCGAAATGTTCCCTCACAGCTGATTTAAAAGAAGCAGGTGGGTTCTAGCTCCAGTGTGTTATCTGAAATCGCCATACTAACTTTTCTACTTCTTGTTCTTCATTTGTTGTTTAAGGGCGGCTGGCAAACAGCTTTTAGGCGCAATACCGCCCCCTGGATTATATATAGTGTAATGGATACTGCCCTGAATGACAGACTTTTTTCCCACTCGTAGAAAATTATAATATATAAAAAAATAACACCATGCGTGTCATGATGGCACATAACAGCTCGCGGGCCGCAGATCACTCCGGGTCCCAGACCCCCCCGAACCCTAACCCTTGGTGTGAAAGGGGCAATCCAGGCTCCCGGGTGTATCTGCGTGCTTTTTACCTGTATGTTCCTGCCTGTGTACATAACATAAGATGCTCATAACCAATTGCCCCTTGCGGGATTAATAAAGTTATTGATTGATACTATATGGTGGTTTTTATGTTTATTTTGTAATTGTTACGTTTATTCTGGCTTGTTTTGTGTTCGTATCTTTTATGTGATTTTATACTTATTTTAATGTTTTACACAGTCTCCCTCCCTGATCGTCCAATCGAGATGCTTGGTCACGGTTTGCTTGACAAACCCCGTGATTCGTCCTGACCAATCAGGACAAAACCACCACAGTCTCAGGGAGTGAGACTGTGGTGGTTTTGTGAGCTGAGCTGTGTGATTTGATATGTTATGTATCTCTCTGTACAGAACTTTGGTCTGGAGGTTTTAAAGTGCTTCATAAATAAAGTTGGATTGGATTGAACATTACAATTCAAGTCAAACATTTATTAAATATATAATCAAGTTACACCAACTACTGACATAATACAATAACTACAACCAAGATTAGCTGGAATATCACCAACACAGATTCAACACATAAAATCATCCTATATGTGTACCTGGAAACTTGGAGTCCTTATACTCACAATAAAATGGTTTATCAACAATCAGTAGTTATAGTATATCAAAAAATCAGAGAAAAACATTAAATATATTGTCCATGAATATTAATAAAGATGGAGTTTATATGAATATTGTCAAACAGAGTTTATACAGGTTGACAGATTGTTCTTATGCATGAATTGTCATGGGACTAATTCATTGTGCTCTTTTTTGCACATTCAGACTTGACTTATAGCAAAAATGTTTTATATGTGTCAAATGTCATATCACTTAGAGGGACTCTCTGGATCTGAGTTAGAGGCTCTGCCTCTGTGTTCTCTTCAGTTTGAGTTTGATGAAGCTGTGAGGACTGACGACCAACACACTTATGGCTTTGACCTGATCACCCCAGGATATTATTTCGTCACAAACACTGCAATGGAATGGTTTCTCTCCTGTGTGGTTTCTCATGTGATTCTTTAAACTTTCACTCCGCTGAAATGATTTCTCACAAACTGAGCAGCTGAATGGTTTCTCTCCCGTATGAATTCTCATGTGTTCATTTAAACTTCCTCTCTGTTTAAAAGATTTCTCACAGAATTAGCAGCTGAATGGTTTCTCTCCTGTGTGGATTATCATGTGTCTCTTTAAAAGTCTTCTCTGTGTAAAATATTTCTTACAGACTGAGCAGCTGAATGGTTTCTCTCCTGTGTGGATTCTCATGTGTTCCTTTAAACTTCCTCTCTGTGTAAAAGTGTTCTTACAGACTGAGCAGCTGAATGGTTTCTCTCCTGTGTGGATTATAACGTGCATCCTTAAACTTCCTCTCCATGTAAAAGTTTTCTTACAGACTGAGCAGCTGAATGGTCTCTCTCCTGTACTACGTCTTGAATCACTGACAGGGTCTTGTTTATATTTCTGAGAGTTTGAAACTGGTTCTCTGGTCTCCTTCCAATCTCCATTGTCAGGTTCAGAAGAGTCTTCATTGTCAGGTTCTGAAGAGTCTCCAGGGTTGTCCTCAGTCTCTGGTTGTAAATGTCTCTCTGGATCTGAGTTCCTGGCTGGTTCTGGTCCTCCACAGTCCTCTCCATCAGCTTCTGTTTCCATGTGTTCAGCTGAGCTGCTGGCTGGAGGCTCTGCCTCTCTGTTCTCCTCAGTCTGAGTTTGATGAAGCTGTGAAGACTGACGACCAACACACTTATGTCTTAGGCCTGGTTCTCTGGTCTCCTTCCAATCAGCACTGTCCTCAGTGTCAGGTTCAGAAGAGTCTCCAGGGTTGTCCTCAGTCTCTGGTTGTAAATGTCTCTCTGGATCTGAGTTCCTGGCTGGTTCTGGTCCTCCACAGTCCTCTCCATCAGCTTCTGTTTCCAGGTGTTCAGTTTGTCTTTGATGAAGCTGAGAGGACTGAGGTTTCTCTTCATCATCTTCACTCTTCACAGGGACAGGAGTGAATGTGGACTTGGTGATATCAGCCTCCTCCAGCCCTTGAAGCTGCTCTCCCTCCTGACTGCTCCGGAGTTCCTCCTGTTCCTCTTTAATGTGTGGGGGGGGCTGTGGGTTCTCCTGGTCCAGACTGGAGCTCCACTCCTGCTGCTCAGGGGGAACCTCTTCTTTAACCACCACCAGCTGCTGGACGTCTGCAGGAAACAGGAAACACATATTCAGAGAAACTGTAGAGTATTAGAATTTAAAATCTAACCACAATTAACACTTCTTTAACTTTGCAGCCCTTATACATTCCTTAAATGCTTGCCTATCATTTTTCTAAGTCCCGCCCCTTTGTTTTTCTGTTGTCTCAATAGTCTGTCAATTACACCTTTTTTCCAGATGCTCTGGAGAGTTTCAGGACAACAGGTGTTAGTACTGTAGCTGATCTAAAACGTAGTTACACTGCTTAGTTTGGACAGGGAGAGCGTGGGGCATAGTTTCTCTCAAAATTCAGCTCTTTTTCTCAAAATGTTGAAGTTGGACCAATGGGACCCGGTCATCCAATACATGTATGTCTTTGAGAAACAGCTCTTCATCACAGCTAATGAGGCTAATGAGGCTAATGATAAAAGTCAGTGACTGTAGTAGTAGTGGTAGTGGTGGTCTAATGGATAGTGAGGTGGGCTGAAGATCGGAAGGTTGTGAGTTCAAATCCCGCCAGGAAAACCACCACTAGTGTGCCCTTGAGTAAGCCCTCAGTTACTCCAGGGAGAATGTCCCTGTAATTGGTAATTGTAAGTCAGCTAAATAAAATGTAATGTAATGTAATGTAGTTGCTTCATGTAAATATTAGGGCTGCAAAAAACAATTACACACACACAGCCGTAGGGTCACAGTCCAAGCCCCCGAGTGATATGGAGTGTGGACTGCTACTTGGAGAGGTCCCAGTTCACCCTGCCGTGGTGCTCTTGAGCAAAGCACCGGACAATGCAGATGTGTGCGCTCTGCATGTGTGACCATTAAAGAGGGTTTCATCCCTCCGATTCTATTCTATAGAGCAGGGGTCGGCAACAGGCGGACCGCGGCCCGGACCCAGACGCCGACCTATACGGACCCGGACCTATAATCAATACATTAATAGGGGATTTCAATTTTGACGGGGCGATTCTATTTTAACCGCCGCCGACAGGGGGCGAAAGAGACGAGTGAGCGATACAGGGAGAGAAACACAGAAGAAGAGATGAGAGAGTGGCAGATAGAAGAGGAGAGGAAAGTGAGTGAAGAGAATAATTAGCGATACAGGGAGAGAAGCGGTGCATGTGAATACATTTTGGAATACTTTTTGGAATTATTGGTGGAAAAGTTTCCTCATAAAATGTAATATTCATTACCAGCAGAACTGTGTGCACACTGCACAGCGCTGCAGCATGTCTGTGAGGCCCCGCCCCCGCACGCAGATCAGAGAGAGATCTCTCTTTTAAAATATATAGAAACGGAGATGGTTCGATAAAATGTGCAAGATAACGTTTATGTAGCATTTCTTTATTGTCGAAATGATGACATTTCATAACGGGATCAAATCAAAGTGAATGGCCTGCTGCTGCTGAATGCATGGGGCAAGTCACTGGAAACAGTTTTAAAAGTTATTACGTCGTTTCAGATAATAAATAATAATGGTAATTCATTCTATTTAGGGGCGCCTTTCAAAGCACCCAAGGACACCTGACAATTCATAACATATTCTAAGGAAAGGTTTAAGAGAGTACAAATAATGCAGTCCGGGTGATGTTTTTGATGTGGGCTGCAGATGAGAGGGAGCTGTCCAGAATGACACCAAGATGTTGTGTTTGAGTTGTGCTCTTGATAAGCCATTAAAACAGTAAAATAAGTGTCTCCTGTTCACCAACACATACCCATCTGTTATGGAAAAATAAAGTATTCTAAAAGTAATCTGAATACGTTACTTTTTTAAGACCCGTAACTTAACTGTATTCGGATTACTTTCAGAGCCATGTATTCAGTAACCGATTACATTTACAAAGTAACCCTCCCAACCCTGATTAAAAGTGCCAAAACGCCACTATGAGACAAAACACAAAGTGTTTGACCAAACATTCCCTCTCAAGTCAGAACTGAGGTCACAAAAAATAAGCAGTCTCGGAGCCCAATATGATCAGTCCACCAGGATCAAAATTAAAACTAAATATGGTTCCAGGGCAGGCTAACCGAGGCTAACCGAGGCTAACCAATGAGCACCTGCATGTGTGTATGAGAATGGCCCTGACACCATTTCAGCCCAGATTTAAACTCCGGGCAGGACAAGCTCCAGCTCAATTCTTGCACTGAATAAAACAAAGTGAGTGAGGGACTGCAATATAAGAGGGAAAGAAAGAGAAACTTTAAAACTGTTCAATTGTTATGATGTGTAAAGACTGATATGTTCTATAATCGTCTGAAACTGTTAAGTCATGATGTGAAACGGTTAACAAAGCTATTTTATTTATTTTTCTATTTTATTTTTAAATGCAGCCAGAGAGGAACATTACACATATCCACAGTATTTACTGTATATCTGTATCAATGTTAATTGACAATAAATATTGTTGTTTTTGAATTGTACTTTCTTTATTTGATTGGCAGTCAGTTGTTGATTACATGCAGACGTTGATAAAGCTACAGGCTACTTCAATATATATCACACTAATTCATAAAGCAACTTAGACATTTTGATGTTCCGGACCTTTGCATGGGGAGATTTTCTCTATCTGGACCTCGTTGAATTTTAGTTGAATACCCCTGATCTAGAGGGTGTGTGCCAATTCTAGAGGCATCACACTACTCAGGCTTCGCGGGAAAGTTTACTCTAAGGTACTCGAACCTCAGATTGAGGAGAACAATGCGGATTCCGTCCTGGTCGTGGAACGACGGATCAGCTTTTTACTCTCGCAAGGGGGGGCCTGGGAGTGGGCTTATATGGTCTACATGTGTTTTATAGATTTGGAGAAGGCGTATGACCGGGTTCCCAGGGAGATACTGTGGGAGGTGCTGCAGGAGTATGGGGTGAGGGGGTCTCTGCCATCCAATCTCTGTACTCCCAAAGCGAGAGCTGTGTCCGGGTCCTCGGCAGTGAGTCAGACCCATTTCCACAACCGAGTGTGAAGCGGCTGGGATGAGGATCAGCACCTCCAAATCTGAGGCCATGGTTCTCAGCAGGAAACCGATGGACTGTCCACTCCATTCCAAGTAGGGAATGAGTCCTTACCCCAAGTGAAGGAGTTCAAGTATCTCGGGGTCTTGTTCTCGAGTGAGGGAACAATGGAGCATGAGATGGGCCGGAGAATCGGAGCAGCGGGAGCGGTACTGCAGTCTCTTTACCGCACCGTTGTGACGAAAAGAGAGCTGAGCCAGAAGGCAAAGCTCTCTGTCTACCGGGCCATTTCCGTTCCTACGCTCACCTATGGTCATGAAGGATGGGTCATGACCGAAAGAACGAGATCGCGGATACAATCGGCCAAGATGGTTTTCTCCGCAGGGTGGCTGGCGTCTCCCTTAGGGATAAGGTGAGAAGTTCAGTCATCCGGGAGGGACTCGGAGTTGAACCGCTCGTCCTTCGCGTCGAAAGGAGCCAGTTGAAGTGGTTTGGGCACCTAATAAGGATGCTACCTGGGCGCCTCCCTAGGGAGGTGTTCCAGGCACGTCCAGCTGGGAGGAGACCAAGGGGTAGACCTCGGACCAGGTGGAGGGATTATATCTCTACCTAGGACCAGGTGGAGGGATTATATCTCTACCTAAAACCAGGTGGAAGGATTATATCTCTACCTAGGACCAGGTGGAGGGATTATATCTCTACCTAGGACCAGGTGGAGGGATTATATCTCTACCTAGGACCAGGTGGAAGGATTATATCTCTACCTAGGACCAGGTGGAAGGATTATACCTCTTCTCTGGCTTGGGAGCTCCTTGAATCCCCCAGTCAGAGCTGGTTGATGTGAAAGGGAAGTTTGGGGCTCTCTGCTGGAACTGCTACCTCCGCGACCCGACCACGGATAAGCGGGAGAAGATGGAGAAAACGTCAAAAACTGTAGAAGATATCAAAAATCTGAATACAAGTTTAATAGGTGAATGTATTGTGACCATTTTAAAGATGGAACGAAGTCTCTAGCTGAAAGTATGTGGAAGGAGTAGCATTGGGCTTACGGTGTAGGTAAAAGAGGATTTGAACGGTGCTCCCATTGAGTTACATGTTAAAAAAATAGTTTAAAAAGCTGAATATTTTTTAAAGTTGAAAAAGTTTAGAACAAATGTAAAGTGGACCTATCATGCAAAATGCACTTTTGTACGTCTTTTATATGTGTCCCCGGTGTTTCAGGGAACTCACCAAGTGTCAGAAAATACAACCCTCTCTCTGTTCCTCCGTACCCAAATCTTTTAAAAACGGGGCTACACCGAGCGGATACAGATTCCATCCGAGCTGACGTCAGCCCGGAATAGTGGGAGGTGACGCTCCGCCTACATGGGCAACGCTTCCCCTATCATGGGAATGAGAGGTTGGGCCACGTCCACGGGCCGGCCAACCTCTCATTGCCATATAGCAGGGGTCGGCAACCTTTTTGATATGAAGTGCCATTAAAAAAAAAAATTGTTATCAGCGTGCCAATGATCGAGAATTATCAACGGGGGGGGGGGGGGGGGGTGTAGGAGCTTGACGCTCGTGAACTATCAACAGGAGGGCGGGGGGGCCCTCGCTGCGGGGAAGCAGTGTGTGGACCTGTCAGCGCAACTTACATGATACCGAATTTAACAAACACATTTAAATAATTGGTTTAAACGGCATAATAATAAGGACGATCGTCCGTTCTGTGATTCTCCAGAACACACATGTTATGATATTAGGGTCATGCAGAGTGAGATGAGATCGCTGTCCCTTTAAGAGAGAGAGAGAGGGGTGTGGCGTGTGCATGTGTGTATGTTTCTGGAAGTGAAACGAGGCAGCAGAAAAACAGAGGTCTGTGATGTATTTTGTGAAACAGAAGAACAGCTAAATAAATGCAACAGCGGCAGAAAGTCACCTGGAATTAAACAGAGCAGGGCTGCGCTGCGTGCATGGCTTCCTTCTGCAGGTAACGGGGAGACGCGCTCTGGCGGCGGTCTCGTTCAGGATCCGAAAATACAATTTAAATATTTTGCACACTTATTCCACTTATTCCTA